CCTCCCCGAAATCTGTCACTCTGTTCCATGCATCCATACCTCTTGCTAAATTCCTGATAACTGGATTGCTCACTTCCCATGGCTGCCATCCTCTCTCAGCTCCACAGGTATCAGAAAAGGTATTTCTCCCTTTGTTCCCAAACCACCATGAAGATCAGGTTTTGTGTGTAGGACGCTTTTACTGGATGTCTGGGGTGCTGTAGGGAAGCTAAGCATTCACAGAATAGGATGTGAATTTAAAACTGAGTATTAGGCATCACTGTTCTAAAATTTTCCTCTGAGAGTCCTCCTACTGGAATTTCTCTCTGGTGAAACTTCTCCTCAGGTTGCTGTCTGTCGCTTATAACCCTCCTCCTTTTTCTCGGGACTTAGCACAGAGCATGCCAAAATGCCCAACAATTTCATATTCAGCAAATTTAGCTCTCTAACACCTTCCTGTCAAGGTCATGCCCAAAGAGGCTCGCCAAGTTGTTTCTGATCATAAAAGAGCTACTGAGACCTCTGAAAGGAATATGAAATTGCATTTCTCCTTTTTAAATTAGCCTTTTCCTCCATTACATATAGTTGGGAGATAAGAAAAGACTCCCTGAGAAGTAGTGATTTGGGGACCAATCTTGAATCACAAAGAAGGTTCCAGCAGGCTAAGTGGTTGGAGGGTTCTGTGCCCTGGGAAGCAAGGAGACAGGCTCTGTGCAGGGTGGGGTGGGGTTTGGGAGCATCATGAGGAAGGGACTGCAAGAACTGGAAGATGAAAGGTCAAAGGGCTGTGTTCTAGCACCGAGAGACAAGTCTGGGTCCAGAGGATCATGTGGATCCATGAGAGAATTTTAAGTAGGGAAAGAATGAAAGCAAATTTGAGCTTCAGAAAAAGCACGGAGTAAGGTAATATCATTTGTTAACTATTGGAATGGCCAACTTAAAACAACACTGATGGCCCTGACCAGTGTGGTTCAGCTGGCTGAGTGTCCTCCCATGCACTGAGAGGTCGCAGGTTTGATTCCTGGTCAGGGCACATGCAGTCTTGATCCCCAGTAGGGGGAGTGCGGGAAGCAACTGATCAGTGTTGCTCTCACTTCAGTGTTTCTCTCTCTCTCCCTCTTCCTTTCTTTCTCTCTAACATCAAAAAGAGTATTTAAAAAGAAAACAACAAGAACATTGAAAAAGGTGTGGGGAAAGTATAGTGCTCTAACACCGTGCTAGAGGTGTAAATGGAACAATCGTTTTTGGAGAGACGTTGGCAATGTTGGGAAAGCAATGGGGAGATGGAGACTTCAAGTGCCTGGATCTACCTATCTCAGACTTTCTGGCTGGATAAAAACACAGGTGTTGGAAATCTGGGGAAATGATGAGACAGAGGACAAGGGCACCGGTACAGGCTCAGGAGAGCCAATTCTCTTCCCAATCACTGCTCAGTGACATCATGTTAGTAGCTTAAAATTGACCATGGTTGAGTATTTACATCACAAAAAGCAGCAAATGCTACAAAACAAGACTTCCCCTCTCCCTGCACCTAGAGAGCAGTTTAACAACACTCCACTTACTGCCTGAGCCAATCCTCATCTAGCAACCCCTTGAGTTCCTTCAGCCATGGCTGCACTTTGACCTTATATGCCAACAGAAAGGCCTATGCCTGCTGATCTGGGCTGGACCTTAAGAAGCCTACTGGACTCCTTGGCCAAAGAGTAGGCAGACTTAAGCGGTCTCCCTAACCCTATTCCAGTTCCTGCTTGATATTCGAAAGAAGTAAGGGACTGGGGGAAGGCACCTCTTTCCAGCTGTGAAGGAGCACAGAAAAATAAGAAAATAATAGGGAGAGGTAGCTGGACCTTCTTCTATGTGGGAGCATCTCACCTCTCTGACAGTCATAGACAAGCCTCTTGCCTTGTGAGCTCTGCATCCTTATAACCACTATTATACCACCTCCCTATAGAAGTCACCGGACTTCTTGGTAAAACTTGGATGCAGGAGTGAAGGGAAAACAAAGATTTGAAGGTAACTGTCAGGTTTCAGGCTTAAATGCCCAGGTAGGCTATGGTGAGATGCAGACAGGAAGAGAAGATCTGAAAGAGTGTACTGGAGTTAGTAATAGTTCTTTTGGGGACTTGGTGAGTTGAAGTGCCTATGGAACAACAAACAGAGATGTCCAAGAAGTAACTTGAGAATTTTAAGATCAAGAAAGTGATAAAGACTTGGGAGTTACTGCTACATAGATGAATTGAAGCTATGAGATTACTCAGGCAATATAAAGGGCAAAGCAAGGACACTTAGGAAACAGCAACGTTTAAGAGAAAGAGCAAAGAAAGAAAGAAATGAGGGGAGGGGTTTACGGGAGTAAGAGGAACAAGGAGAATGTGCTACATCATAGAGCCCTAAGAAGGAGAAGAATATCAAATGTTGCAGAAAGGTTGGCTATGATAAGGATTAAGATGAGACACAGTGAGGTTATTGTGGCTGGGTCAGAGGGAACAAGACAGTGGGAGGAGATGAGATTTAAGTAGGCAGGGGCCAGATCGGGCAGGACCTTGTGTGCCATTAGGAGGTGTCTGGATTTTATTATAAGTGCAGTAGGAAATCATTAGAGGAATTTATCAGGGGAGCCAAGAAATATGATTTGCACTTTAAACATATCACTGTATTCTATGGAGGATGTACTGAAGCGAGTAAGAGTAGAGGCAGGTAGGAAGCTATTTCAGTAACTCAGACTTGGACTAGGATGGTAGATGTACAGATGGTAAAGAGTGTTCAGATTCAGGGTACATTTTAAAAAGACATATGGATACTAATGAAAAAAAATAGGCCCGGCCGATGTGGCTCAGTGGTTGAGCATCGACCCATGCATCAAGAAGTCGCCGGCTGGATTGCCAGTCAGAGCACATGTCCAACATATTGTGGGCCAAATCCCCAGTGGGGGGCATGCAGGAGGTGGCCAACTGATGTTCTCTGTCATCGATGTTTTTATCTCTCTCTCCCTCTCCCTTCCTCTCTCGCTAAAATCAATTAAAAAAATTAATGATATCTGATTGAATACAAGATAAGAGAAAGACAGAAATCAAAGAATGCTGAGGTTTTTTGTTTGATCAGCTGAGTAGATAGTGGTGCTGTTTCCAACCGTAGATAAGACTAGAGAAAATAAAACAGGTTTAAGAGTGGGAACCAGAATTAAAATTTTTATTTTGGTCATCTGAAGAATAAGATGCCCATTGGACATACAAGTAGAGATGCCGAGTAGGCAGTTGGCAATCGAAATCTGGAGCCCCGAGGGAGGTTGGATATATTAATTTTTTAAATGTTTTTATTGATTTTTAGAGAGAGAGGAAGGGAAAGGGAGAGAGAAATAGAAACATCTATGAGAGAGACACATCGATTGGCTACCTCCTGTGTACCCCCCACTGGGGATCCAGCCCACAACCCAGGCATGCACCCTGACCAGGAATCGAACCAGCGACCTCTTCGTGCATGGGTTGACACTCAACCACTGAGCCATACCAGCTGGGCTGGATATATTAATGTTGAAATCATCAGCATATACATACCATCAAAGCCATGGGACTAGATGAATATTAAAGCTGTGTTTCCCTCTCACTTGATCCAACAGAGGTTGGGTGGCCATTGGTTGGGGGCTGGGAGAGGCACCCAAAGTCATCCCCATTGGGCAAAGAAAGTTGGTCCTTGAATCTGAGAACTGGACAGGCATCAGGGCAAACCTGGCTCAGGGACTTCTTACAGGGAAATGGCTCCAGAGAAACTAAGACCTCCCAAGAAGGCTGAAGGATTTCCATTGCCCTCCTCTTTCTCCCTTCCCACGATTCTCTATGTTAGTAACATTAATGTGGAAGGAAAAGAGGAAGGTGATATTGAGGACACTTAAGTCTGTCCAGCCAGCAATGGGAACACCAGGGGAGGCCAGGGCTAAATGTGGGAGTTTATGTGGAATGCACCACCCCCCATGCAATGCAAGAATCAAAGCTCCTGAAAGTTGGCATAAAAGCCACCCACAGTTACAGCCCTCCCAGGAGGAGGCCTGGGCTTCAGGCAAGGGGTCATACCCACTATTCTGCTGCTCATGTGAAGAAGATGAGCATGAGCTGAAGAGCTGAGACCAACCATGCCCTGATTTTGAGCCAACCAGATAAAAGTACTGAAGACCAGTGCTTCTCTAACGTTAACGTGTATTCGAATCATCTGGGGATTCGGGTAAAATGCAGATTCTGTTTTGGTACACCTGGGGTAGGGCCTAAGATTCTGCATTTCTAACAAGTTCCCAGGTTATGCTTTTGCTGCTGGTCTACAGACCACACGTAGAGTAGCAAAGGATGAGAAGCAGCTGTGGAGCTACACACAATGGAAGGAGCGTGTCCAGGAAGAATGTGCATATTTATGCACAAAGTCACAGAACCTATTGAAATGGAAACAGCCACTATTTTGTCCTGGTTGTGGGAAGACGGTCACTTCATGGCAGACTACACTTTCTGGGAGCATCGCATGGTGTTGAGCACTTGGGTTCCTGCGCTTTACCTCTGAGTAGACGAGTGGTCGGGTGCAAATCTTTAACTCCTCTGCATCTCAGTTTCCTCATCTCTCTAATGGGAGAAGTAAGACTATTGTGAGGATTAGCTAAGTCAATACATATAAAGCACTTAAAACATAGTAAGTGCTCAGTAAATGTTACTATTCTTGTCGATAATACACCCTTCTATGCTAGTCAACGTAGACACACACTGAGTCTTAGTCTCCTTTTGGTACACGGCCAAAAATATAGCCCCCATCTCCCTTCCACCAAAAGGCCTGTATCCTCTCTTTCAAATTCCTCCTACCCTCCTGTCCAACTCCCCCTCCCCTGGCCCCTGGCCCCTGTGTGGTCTGGATGGGCCCCACAGGGGCAGGGACAGGGACAGGACGTGGGGCTGTATCTGACAGGAACCTGAGGGGCTGGCCTGGGAGGGGATTGGGGCCCGGCTTCCTGCAGGGAGGATGGGCTAAGGCAGGCACACAGTGCTGAAGAAGATGCCCTCCTGGGCCCTCTTGGTGGTCACCTCCTGCCTCCTCCTGGCCCCCCAAAACCTGGCACAAGTCACCAGCCAAGGTGAGGTGTATGGAGGGTGGAGCTCACCTATAGCAGAAAGAGGGAGCCCTGGGAGGGGTGCAATTAGGAGGCCCCCACTGGTCCCCTACTCTTTCTCAAACATGCCTGGAAGGACCCAGAGCCCAACTCACCAGCTGTTCCTCAGCTGCCTCCTTGCTGGCCGTGGACTCCGAGCCCCTGAACTGTTTTTCTCGAACATTTGAGGACCTCACTTGCTTCTGGGATGAGGAAGAGGCAGCACCCAGTGGAACATACCAGCTGCTGTATGCCTACCCAGGGTATGTGCTGGGCTGTGCCCCAGGCCCCTCATCTGCCTCGCTCTCAGCTGAGCCCTGCTCCAGTAGCTTGCCTGCCTTTGACCCCATAAGAGAATTACTTCAAGTATATGCCCTAAATAGCCACTTAATGAACCAATGTGCTTTGGGTAGATCCAGCTCGAGCCCCTACATAGCCCCTCCTCCCACCTCTCCCAGGCACTGAGAAGAAAAGGCAGTCATGGAAATAGAACTAGGGCCTGGGGCCAGCCTGGGTCCTGAGGGCGGCCAGGTAGGCAGGATGGACTTTTCCTATGTCCACAGGGAGAAGCCCCGTGCCTGCCCCCTGATTTCCCAGAGTGTGCCCCCCTTTCGAACTCGATATGTGTGCCAGTTTCCAGCCCAGGATGAAGTTCGTCTCTTCTTTCCACTGCACCTGTGGGTGAAGAACGTGTTCCTAAACCAGAATCTGACCGAGCGGGTGCTCTTTGTGGATAGTGTGGGTAAGGGTCATCTTTCGTCCGTCACCCTGGCCCCTCTATTTGCTGCCCCCAGGCTAGATCATAGAGTCAGACTGGTTGGTATTCTTTCAGTACAACATGCATGCCCTCTTACTAGATCCCAGAGACACCTCAAGACACCCTTATCGCCCTGGCTGGTTTGGCTCAGCAGTTAGAGCGTCGGCCTGCGGTCCAGAGAGACCCAGGTTCGGTTCCTACTAAGGGCATGTACCTCGGTTGCAGTTTGTCCCTGGCCCTGGTTGGGTCGTGCGGGTGGCAGCCACTCGATGTATCCCTTTCACGTCGATGTCTCTCTCTCTCTCTCTCTCCCTCCCCACTCTATCTGAACAAAAAATGGAAAAAATGTCCTCGGGTGAGGATTAAAAAAACAACAACAAAAAAACACCCTTATCATTTCTCCCAGCCTTGGTATCTAGATCTAGACTTCATTTCACATCAGAGACACCCTGGCTCTCCTGTCATTAACCTATTCATTTACACACTCATTCAACGGTTACAGAATACCTACTGTGTGCCAGGCACTGTGCTAGGTGTCAAGAATACAGAGATCCTTGTTCTTGATGAAGCGAGACCCCTGCTCTTGAGGAACACCAAGTCTAACTAACCTGGACTGAGGTCACCATTCTCATCAGGAAAGGAGAACAGGATAAGGAGTCACCCTGCCTTGCCTTGCCCTCCATGAGAGCCAATCCAGCCTCCAGCACCCCTCTCTTCAATTCATGGGTTGAACTGTAGACCGTGGCACTCAGAGAGTTCTGATGTGCCCATCTTGCCCTCAGGCCTACCAGCTCCCCCCAGTATCATCAAAGCCATGGGCGGGAGCCAACCAGGGGAACTTCAGATCAGCTGGAAAGCCCCAGCTCCTGAAATCAGTGATTTCTTGTGGCACCAACTCCGCTATGGCCCCAAGGATCCCAGAAACTCCACCGTTCCCACAGTCGTGCAGTTGCTGTCCACAGAAACCTGCTGCCCAGCTCTGCGGAGGCCAAACCCAGCCCCAGCTCTGGACCAGCCTGCATGTGCACAGCCTGTGATGCCCCAACAGGATGGACCAAAGCAGACCTCCCCAACTAGAGAAGTATCCTGGCCTTCTTCCACTCTACCTCCTATCTCCTACCCCTAATTTTGCTCTAAGAAAGGATATGTCCTACTTTGGGGATTCTAGATGGGGTTGGTCCTTGGGGAATTAGTGCAAATTCTGATTAGTCCTCAGGAACTGTGTCTATTTAGAGATCTCCCACTTTGGGTCATTCACACCAACAAAATTGAGAGCCTCAGGCCTCCAAATTAATGGGGATTTCCCCCCAAGCCCCTTAACATCCCCTTGAAACCCACCGACCTGGCCCCCAGTCTGTGTGCATATCTGCCCAGTATGGAAGTGAGCATCTCTCCACAGGCATGCTGTGGGGCTTCAAATATAAGAGATGGAGGCTGTCTTGGCTGAGAGGCAGACCTAGATTCTGAGGCTGGGATTCTTCTCTCAAGGCTCCACCTCTGACAGCGAAGAGTGGAAGCTGCCTCATCTCAGGGCTCCAGCCTGGGAAATCCTACTGGCTCCAGCTGCGCAGCCAACCTGATGGGGTCTCCCTCCATGGCTCCTGGGGACCCTGGTCCCATCCTGCAACTGTGGACCTGCCTGGAGATGCAGGTGAGTCAATGAAGGAATGAAGTTATGAAAAGGAAATAAAAAGATCTCTAGGGAGGCCTGGGCTGGACATGGAAGCTCTGATAACCATGGTCCTTCCTAATGACCTCAAACTTGCCACCGGACAGAGTGAACTACATTCAGGTAGAAAACAAAGAATAGGAGTAAATGTTCCAAGTTATGTGTGTAAAGATGATCTGGATACCCTATAGAGTAGGAGCGTGTGTGCCCTGATGGGACTTCTTCTCTGATGCAGTGGAAATTGGGCTGCAATGCTTTACCCTGGACTTGAAGAATGTTACCTGTCAGTGGCAGCAACAGGACCATGCTAGCTCCCAAGGCTTCTTCTATCACAGCAGGCCATGGTGCTGTCCCAGAGCCAGGTGAGAGTTGAACTGCTTGATGTCATGGGAAAGAGGTGCAATCTTGCAGGTAGAAGGGAGAGATTGTTCTTGGTCCTCTTCACTTCCCTGCCTGTTCCCAAACCAAATGGCCTCCATGCTCTCATCCTCCAATGGGTGTTTTATCTTCTCAACCTCTTCCCGTTCCCACTGGGAATGCCTTGGTTTAATTCAGCTTGAATCATGTCATCTGGGCCACTGCAACAGTCCACATTCTCCTTCACCTCCAATCTATCCCCCACGCTGCTGACAAAGTGACCTTTGTTAAACTCAGATTTTGCCTGGTCGTCCCCTACTCAAATATGTACTGCAACCTTCCACTATCTATCAAATCCAATCAAAACTTTGTCTGGTCTTCAAGAACCTCCACCAAGCACCTCACTCCACAATACCCAATCTATAACCAAGCCTTGTTGATCTTACCTGTTAAATACCTCTAGAATCTGTCTTTGTGTTCACCACTGCCATTAGCCTAGTACTGGCCATCATCATCTCTCACTTGGGTGACTGAGAATACTTATTAACTGACCACCTCTTGAATCCTCAAATCATTCTCCACACAGGAGCTGGAACAATCTTTTAAAAGTGAAAAAATGGCCCTGGTCGGTTTGGCTCTGTGGTTAGAGCGTCGGCCCACGGTCTAGAGAGATGCGGGTTCAGTTCCCCCTAAGGGCATGTACCTCAATTGCAGTTTGTCCCGGCCTTGATTGGGGTCATGTGAGTGGCAGCCAGTTGATGTGTCTCTCTCACATCGATGTTTTTCTCTCTCTCTTCTTCCCTCTCTCCCTCCCTCTCTATCTGAAGATAAATGCAAAAAATGTCCTCGGGTGAGAATAAAAAAATAAAATAAAAATGAAAACAATAAATATAACACTCCCTGCTGAAAAATCTTCAATAGCTTCCCCTTGATGTTAGGATCAAGAATTCTATCATGGCCCTGGCCAGTTTGGCTCAGAATTTAGAGTGTCGGCCCTAGGGTCATGGGTTCAATTCCCAGCCTAAGGGCACGTACTTGGGTTGAAGGTTCAATTCCTGGTCATCTGATCAATGTTTCTCTCTCACATCAGTGATTCTCCATCTCTAAAATCAATAAATATACCCTTGGATGAGGATTTAAACTTTTTTTTCTCTAAAAATTCTAATTGGAAAAGGCTGACCTTGACCATACATGATCCCTAAAGGCAAAGTCAGCATCTGTTTTTACTCACCAATGAATTTTCACCTATCACAGTGCCTGGAACATAGTAGGTGCTCAGTAAAAAATTGTTGAATGAATGAATAACAAAACAAAACACTATTCACAGTTTTAATATAGTCTTCCAGTTTTTCTATGCATTTATATATGTCTATACATAATACTTTTCAGCATAAATTGCATATATATATAATATTTTATTAATTTAAAAATATGCCTTGGAGATCATTTTAAAAATGCAACTCATTGTTTTTAATAACTACATAGATTTCCACAGTATAGAGGGGCCTTGAACAGATTAACGGGTGGCAAAACTGGAGTTATCATTTTCTCTACCAAAACCTGCTCCCCTCTTATTGTCCTCCATCCTACAATCAGCTCAATTTTTCAGGCTTGAAACATGGAAATCACCCTGGACTTCTTCCATTTCTACACTCTTGAGGTCCAATCAGAAATAGCCTTGTCATTTCTACCTCTTCAGTATCCCATGAATCCATCTACTTCCCTCTATACCCATTGCCACAACCCTATTTTCAGACCCTCTTCACTTTGCACAGAGGAAACCAAACAATGTCCTAATGGATTTCTCTCCTACTCCACCCTCACAAGTTCTTTCCTGCAGTTAGAGTGATCTTCCTAAAGCACAAAGCCAATTATGACAATTCCCTATTTAGAATCTTTTAATGTCTCCATAATTACTACAAGATTGAGTTCAAGCTCCTTAGAAAGGCCACAGGGCCATCCATGACCTCGGTCTGTCCTCTCACATTTACCGCTCATCACCAGGCCCTCTGTGCCAAGAGCATTCTGTACCACTTCAAACTTCCCCAAAGCACCATATCTCTTATCTGTGCCCAAGTATGTGCCTCGGATGCCTGCTTGTCCCCTCTGCCTTTTATTTATAGTCCAAAACTCAATTTAAGCACTGCCTTGTCCAGGAAGTATTCTCTGACCCTCCCATGCTGGGTAAGATCATCCACCTTGATAGTCCTGAACCGGCCTGTTCACATCACAGAAAAATACTATCTGTTTTTCTGCCTCTCCCACTGAAATGAGAGCTCCCTGAAGATTGTTCCTCTATGTATTCATAGGGCCTAGCACAGTGCCAGGCACAAAGTGTCAATAATTTGGTGGATAAATGAATAAACATATAAATATATAAATGATAAATAATTTTAGTAATAACTAGCCACTTACAGGTTATAATTAGGAAGGTGATACAATTCATTTGTTTAATAACAGTTATCCAAGGTAACTATGTCAAGCCCTGGGGACAGAGTGATAAATAAAACAGAAAAGGTTGCAGCAACATTTTAGTGGAAGGGAAGGGTGACAAACAAAAAATAAAGAAACAGGATTCTATGATAGAGATTAAGTGGGAGTATGGGGCAGGGTTGCTAATTAGGCTGAGTGGTCGAAGAAATTCTCACCAGGGAGGTGACAAATGAGCTCAAACCTAAGTGGCAAGAAGGAACAAGTCATGTGAAAATCTAGAGTCAGAGCAATCCAGGGCAAAGTGAAGTGCAAAAGCAGTGTGTTTGGCATAACTGTAGCACAGAAAAAAGGCCCATGTGAATGAAGGGTGGTAAACTGGTGTGAAAATTGTCGGATTAGACAATGGTGAGGGAGGGAGGAGCTAAATCATATAGAGTACTAAAGGCCTTGGTATGGAGTTTGGAGGTTATTCCAAGTGGGATGGGGAGCCATTAAAGGCTTTTTAAAAAATATGTTTTTATTGATTTTTTTTTTTTTTTTTAGAGAGAGAGAGAGAAACATCCATGTGAGAGAGAAACATTGATCGGCTGCCTCCTGCATGCCCCCTACTGGGGATTGAGCCTACAACCCAGGCATGTGCCCCCAAATCTAACTGGGACCTCTCAGTCCATGGGAGGATGCTCAATCCACTGAGCCACACCAGCCAGGCAGGATTTTAAGCAGAAGAGTGACATGATACGATTTACATTTTTTAAAGATATGCTTCTTTGTGAAATTATAAAGAGGTAAGAGTAGAAGCAGGATCATCAGTTAGAAATTTGCATTAACCCAGGCAAGAGCTCTGCTGGTTGGCTCAGCGGTTAGAACGTCGGCCTGCGGTCCAGAGAGACCCGGGTTCGGTTCCCGCTAAGGGCACGTACCTCTGTTGCAGTTTGTCCCCGGCCCTGGTTGGGCTGCACGGGAGGCGGCCACGCAATGTGTCTCTTTCACGTCGATGTTTCTCTCTTTCTCTCTCTTCCTCTCTCTCTCCCTTCCACTCTATCTGAACAAAAAATGGAAAAATGTCCTCGGGTGAGGATTAAAAAAAAAAATACAGGCAAGAGATAATAGTGGGTGCATCTAATGTGGCAGTGGTCAAAATCAAAATAAATGGGTAGATTTATGATATATCCTGGACATTACCGGATCAACATTTTGGAAGCAAATTCTGTTGGCTGTGTGGAGAACAAATTAAAGGGAGTGGCAAAAATGGAGGCAGAAAAGCCAGTTAGGAGACTGCTGTAATCATCTAATAGTAAGATAACACATAGAGGTGACTACGAGGGCTGCTGTATAACAACAGATTTAAAACATAAGGATGTTTTTCTGCAGAATGATAAAGGCTCTTTAACCTTTGAAACAATCCTGTGAAGTAGGTATTATTAACCCATTTTACAACTGAGGAAATAGGGACAGAGATAAACCAAGTAATTTGCCCAGAGTTATACACCAGCAAGCCAAGACCTGAACTCTATGGCCCATGCTATCTTCATGTACCATCTAGCTCCTTTCTTAAGAGGAAGAAGCTGGACCCCAAAGCAAACTTCAGAAAGTAAAATATTATGGCATGAAGACAGAGAAAGCCCTGGAGGCCAATCTAAGAGAGAAGTTAGATTATAATCCATGCGGGGCATAGCCCCTGTGGGATGGAGAATATCAGGATTAGTCTCTAAGGCAGACCTGATTCAATGATTCTATGGGGCTGGTTCTTAGGGACCCTGTCTGGAAGAAGTGTGAAGAGGAGAAAAATCCAGGATTACAACTCTCCCAGTTCTCCCGCTGCCACTTCAAGTCACGAAATGACAGTGTTATTCACATCCTTGTGGAGGTGACCACAGCCCAGGGAGCTTTTCACAGCTACCTGGGCTCCCCTTTCTGGATCCACCAGGCTGGTAAGAACTTTCTTCCACACAGTCCCCACTACCCACTGCATCTGACCTTATGCCCAGAATCACCAGTTCTGACCCTTCTGGCCCATGGCCCTGCTGGCATGATGTCTCATGCACAGAATGGCTTAGGCCAGTCCCTGATGACATCCCTGTAGTGCTCATCCCCACTCCAAACTTGCACTGGAGGGAGGTCTCCAGCGGGCAGCTGGAATTGGAATGGCAGCACCCATCATCCTGGGCAGCCCAAGAGACCTGCTATCAGCTCCGATACACAGGAGAAGGCCATCAGGACTGGAAGGTAAGGTCAGAGAACAAATCCCCTTAGACCTCGCCACACAGGGTTTTCCTGAGTTTCACCGTACCTGTGATTAGGGGTGAGGGCGTCCATGTGTCCATGTCTAGGCTTGTATATCTATGTTTATCTAATTCAACTGGTATCTTAACCTCTCTTTGGCACCTGATACTGCTGACTACTCCCATTTGATATTTTCTCTTCCGTTTATCTTCGCTGGGATATCATTCTCTCCTGAGTCTCGTACTACCTCTCTGGCAGAACCTTCTCACTGTCCTTTCCTGGCTCTTCCTTCTCCACCCTTCTTTAATATGTTGTGCTCCCTACAGGCCCACCCTAGACTCTTTTCTAGATATAGTATACACTTTCCCTAGACGAGTGCCTCAACTCCCTGGTTTTAACAACCATACATTAACCATCCCAGACTTACCATATGGAAAGGAATGTCTAGCAGGGGTGGGGAACTTTTTTTCTGCCAAGGGCCATTGGGATATTTATAACATCATTCGAGGGCCATGCAAAACTATCAACTTCAAAATTAGCCTGCTAGCCCTGGCCGGTTTGGCTCAGTGGTTAGAGTGTTGGCCCATGGACCAATGAGTTGCGTGTTCGATTCCAGTCAAGGGCATGTCCCCGGCTCTGGTTGGGGTTGTGCGGGAGGCAACCAGTTGATGTGTCCCTCTCATGTCGATGTTTCTTTCTCCCCCTCTCTTCCTCTCTCCCGCTCTATCTGAAGATAAACAGAAAAATATCCTTGGGTAAGGATTAAAAAAAAAAAAAAACTAGCCCTAGCCGGTTTGGTTCAGCAGTTAGAGCATTGGCCTGCAGACCAAAGAGTCCTGGGTTCGATTCTGACCAAGGAAACGTACCTCGGTTGCTATTTGTCCCTGGCGCTGGTTAGAGTTGTACGGGTGGCAACCAATCCATGTGTCTCTCTCACATCAATGTTTCTCTGTCTCTCTCCCTCCCACTCTGTCTAAAGATAAATGTAAAAGTATCCTCAGGTGAGGATTAAAAAAAAGAAATTAGCCTGCTATATTTGGTGAGGTGTGTGATGTTAGCTGGTATTGATTTTGAGGGCCTTATAAGGCCCACAGGCTGGACTCTACCCCGCCTCCAGTGACATAGACAAATTACCTAAACTTTTTTTTGCATTTATCTTCAGATAGAATGGAAGGGAAAGAGTGGGAAGAGAGAATGAGAAACATTGATGTGAGAGAGACACATTGAGTGGTTGCTACCCACATGACCCCAACCAGGGCCGGGGACAAACTGCAACGGAGGTACGTGCCCTTAGCAGGAATCGAACCCGGGACTCTTTGGTCCGCCAGCCGACACTCTGACCTCTGAGCCAAACCGGCCAGGACTTACCTAAACTTTTGAAGTCCCAGTTTCCTCATTGGTGAAATGAGAATAAAGCTATCTACTTTCCAGAGTTACAGTGAAGATTAATTATATAAATATCTAGCATACTGCCTTACAGATAGAAGGTGTGCATATACATTAGTTAAAGCTTGGTTTATTTCTCTACTTTTATTATTTACCACATACACTGTATATACCGCTTCTTACCAGATAGATCTACCTAAAACCCCCAGGGGCATTTCAGACTCATACAGTAGTCCCTCCTTATCTGTGGAACTCTCAGGCATGACAAAGGGATGGTTTGTGTTCTGGGTGAGATGGAGAGAGATGGTGTGAGGTCTCATCAGCTACTCAGAATAACTGGCAATTTGAAACTTACCAATGGTTTATTTCTGTAATTTTCCATTTACTATTTTTGGACCGTGGTTGACTCTAGGTCGCTGAAACTATGGAAGGCGAGACTGTGGATAAAAAGGGACTACTATATATCCAAAACTCAACTCATTCACAGTAAAGTACACAAATCTTAAGTATGCAGTTCATTTGTACATGTGTATACACCCATATAACCATTATCCATTATGAGCACCTGAGAAGTTCCTCTTGCCCCTACAGTTACACACCTCCCTTCCAAGGTAACCACTATTCCAACATTACCATTAAGTTGGCTGTTGTTGAACTTAATAAAATGGAACCATACAGTATTTCTTCCTCAAACTTACTTCTCTGTATCCTGTCTTTGACAATGGCATCAGTTACCCAAGCCTTGAATCCTCCTTGACTCTTCTTCCCTTTGCCTTGTCTCTTCCTCCTAATTATCAACAAATAAGTTGAATTTATTGCACTAACAGCCCTCCAATGCCTCCTATCACTGCCTTAGCTTCATCTTGGACCATCCAGCCTGCCTATCCAGCCTGCGCACTGAACTACTCTGCAGTCCCCAACCAAGCAACTCAGGCAGCACTAAATGCTCCTTGGTGCTCCTGGTGCCTTACTTATACCATTATTATAGCACTAAATACTTGGAATTATTTACTTGTTTGCATGTCTTCCTTATTAGACATGTGAGAGACCATGTTTCATTTATCTTTTTCCTCAATGCCTAGCCCAATGCTTGGCATATCACAAGCAGTTCATAAATGCTTGCTAAATGATTAAGTTAATCAAGATCCCAAACTTGTACACACGATGCTTGTACCCTCTGCTTGGAATCTCCTTGTAGCCCCAGTTCCAAGCATAATTCTGGCATCCTCTGCTGAATGCTTGTATCTGAGTGTGTCTGGGATTTCATTGCTTCTGGCAGGATGTCCATGTGTCCCAATCAGTGTGTGTGCACCAGGATCTCTGGCAGGGTGTATCGTATGTATTTGTGTCAGGATGTGTGTCTCTGTGCAGATGAGGTCTGTGTGTCAGGGTGAGTTTCTCTTGAGCTGGGCATTCAGGCAGGGAGAGGCCATGGGCAGGGGGAGATGTTCTGTCTCTGTCGGGTGTTCCATCTTCCAGTTTCCGCCGGGATGCGTGTTTTCTGTACATGACGCATTTTGAGGGAATCCCCTAGAATTTAAAGTGGTAAAGTGTTGATCCAACAAATGCCCATCTCTCCAGGACCGGATGTCCGCCCTTCCACAACCGGAGCCTGACCACCTGCTCGGTTCTCTGCGCAGGTGCTGGAGCCACCTCTAGGGGCTCAGAGAGAGACCCTGGAGCTGCGCCCGCGCTCCCGCTACCGTTTACAGCTGCGCGCCAGGCTCCACGGCCCCACCTACCAAGGCCCCTGGACCGCCTGGTCCGACCCAATAAGGGTAGAGACAGCCTCGGAGACTGGTGAGGGCCGGCCGGGGCAAAGGCGGTCTGCGGCTGCGCGAATAGGGGGTGCCGGCGCAGAGAGGGCGGGGCTTCGACCGCACTGGTCTGTGGCTGTGCAGCCATAAGCGGTGCCTTTGTGGGTGAGGGGCGGGGCCAGGGCGGGGTTGCGCGGAGCCGGGGGCGGGGCTCCGGCCAGGGGCTCAGGAGAGCTGACTTTTTCATCCTATAGCCTGGATCACCCTGGTGACCGCTCTGCTGCTGGTACTGGGCCTCAGCGCTCTCCTGGGCCTGCTGCTGCTGCGGTGGCAATTTCCTGCGCACTACAGGTACCGCCAGGGTCAGGCAGGAGATGGGGCTGTAACAAGGGCGGGCCCGGAGGCCTCCTAAATGACCATCCCAAGCTCTCTGACACCCATTTTCCAGACAACTGCAAGTCCACACCTGTGGCTTCAGCCGCTTCTTGCACGCCTTCCCTGGGTGTCGCACTGCCTCCTAACACTCTTAACATGCCCACTGTGCTGGACATCTCAAACTGCCCCACCTCCTGGCTGGTCATCTCAGTAACAAAGCTGTCCACCTGTCACCCGAGCTAAATCACGTAGATGCCTCCCTCCTCCTTATCCAGTACGATCTGGTCGGGTCATTCCACCTCCTAAACCACGCTCAAACAATGGCTTCTTTTCTCTAGCCCTACCTACCCTACCTGATTCACAGAAACAGAGCCTCTTCTCCCTCCAATTTGCCTCACGCAACCACCAGAAAAATCTTTCTAAAATGCACATATGAATTTATCATGCGCCTCCTTAAATCTCCTTATTAGCTCCCCAGGACAGAGTTCAGATTCTAGAATGACAAGCAAAGCTCCCCAAAATGTGGTCCCTGATAGCATTTCCATCTTCTTCCAACCTGTGCATCAGCCTTGCCAAACTGTTGGTGATTTCCTCCACACTGTTGGTGATTTCCTCCACAAGTCAAGTGGTTTTATTTCTCAGTGCCTTTGCACATAATGTCCCCTCCATCAGGAATATCCTCCCTGGATGACTAATACCCATTTATCTTTAAATAACTTTCTTCACCAACTCCTGGGAAACCTTTCCTAACCCTCTCCTATTGGCTACTCTCTTTGTGCCCCTGTACAGACTTCTATCATAGTACCAGTAGCATTTTACTACATTTATTTCTTTATATGTTTTCCCCAATACCTTACTTGGTCATCTGAAATCCTCAGCACAGTGTATGCCAAATAGCATGCCCTTAAATAAATATTATTAATGAATGACTTATTTATGTGGGAAGACAAAGGTTGAGGAGAAATGTCATTGGAAGATATAAACAGAAAGGATAGACTCCATCCCACCTCAGTCTTTCAACTGGTAACATCTCTTGATTGTTGAAGACTCAGCTCAGAAGGCAACTCCTCCAGGCAGCTTCTTTTGATAGCCCTAGGCTATCATATCATCTCTCTTTGAACATGTCTGTCTTTAAACCTGTATAAGTTTATGAGCAGACTGGAATGTAGCCTCTATGCAGGTAGCCGGATCTAACACAAAACTTAGGGAAGGAGAAGGTAGTGCTGCTAAAACAGATATACTCAGTTCCTTTCCCCCAATTTACCAGATAAATCACTCCTCCTCCCCGGAGAGATATGAGTGAGGTCACAGAAGAGCCTGAAATGTTGTTCAGCTAAAGTCCCTTCATGGGGAGCCCTGGCCGGTGTGGTTCAGTTGGTTCAATGTTGTCCTGTGCACCAAAGGTTGCTGGTTTGATTCCCCATCAGGGCACTTGCCCAGGTTGCAGGTTCCATCGCCAGTCCAGCTATGTGCAGGAGGCAACTGATCGATGTTTCTCACATCAATGTTTTTCTCTCTCAAATCAATAAAAATACATTTTTTAAAAGACACCTTTAAAAAATTTCCCGGCTGGTGTGGCTCAGTGGTTGAGCGTCAACCCATTCACCAAGAGGTCACTGGTTGGATTCCTGGTCAGGGCACATGCCCTGGTTGTGGGGCAAATTCCCAGTAGGGGGGCATGCAGGAGGTGGCCAATCGATGTTCTCTCTCATTGATGTTTCCATCTCTCTCTCCCTCTCCCTTCCCTTCTCTCTAAAATCAATAAAGAAAAAAAAAATTAAAAAAAGAAAAAGAAGGCAGAGCAGGAGATAAAGTGATGGGGAAGGGAGGTGGTACTATCTTAGACAGGGTAGTCAGGGAAGACCTCTCTGTCAGGATAGCATCTGAGCAGAGATCTAAATGAAGTGAGGGAATAAATGGAATGTTCCAGATAGAGATAAAAGAAAGTGCAAACTCCCTGAAGCAGAATGGTTGAGGACACTCTGTACCACTCCTTTCCTGATCCACCCCACCACTAACTCCCCTCCCCCAGCTGAGGTTTCCTTTGCACCTATGCTTTTACTTTATTACCTTGACGATACTCTTACCTCTCCAAGCTTTACTCACCCACCTCTCTTCCTCCCCCATGCCCCACCTCAATGTTCTCCTCCTCCCTCCCAACTCACTCCCATGGCTCAGTCTCCTTCTCTTCCTTCTCCCCAAGGAGCCTGAGGCATGCACTGTGGCCCTCACTTCCAGACCTGCACCGGGTCCTAGGCCAGTACCTTAGGGATACTGCCACCCTCAGTCCGGTGAGTGCACTCCCTTCCGTACTACCCACCACTAGTCCTATGAGGAGCTGGATGCTTGCCCTCACAGCACAACTTTTCCAAGGCCATTGCTCACCAGCATTCTATCACCCTGGGCCCTAACCCCAGCCAAACCCTCCTTCCTACACAATCTGGGTCTTCTTCCCACAGGACCTGCTAATCCAGAACCCTTTTCCTCTCATCTCTCCCAGCCCAAGGCTGCAGTCTCAGATGTCTATGAGGAAGTGGAACCCAGCCTCCTTGAAATTCTACCTAAGTCCTCAGAGAAGACTCCCTTGCCCCTGTGTTCCTCCCAGACCCAGATGGACTACCGAGGATTGCAGCCATCTTGCCTGGCTACCATGACCCTGTCTGTGTGCCCACCCATGGCTGAGTCAGGATCCTACTGTACCACTCACATTGCCAACCATTCCTACTTACCACTGACCTGCTGGCAGGCCCCTCACTCCCAGTATCCTGGACAGATCCAAACCCTCTAGACCTTTCTTCCCATTCTCTCTACCCATCCCACCCCACCCCCACACCATACACATCTCAGACCTCACTTCCATCCTCCTTGTTGACCCTCATAGCTGGACTTCACAACACTGATCTTGCAGTAATGCTGCTGATATAAATCCAGGACCCTCTTTCCTCAGGCAAGGCTCACTTATTTGACTAAGCACTAACGTCTACCTTCTTTCTCTCTCCTCTTTAATGCCACACTGCTTGAAAAGAAGTCTTCACTTCCCACTTCTCATTTGCTCTTTGGACTACTTTAGTTAGTTCTTCTACTACCACTTTGCTAGTGAAACTGCTCAGGCAAAGTTCACCTCAAACGTTCTAATTGCAAGATCCAATAAGATCTTGTTAACCCTCCATTTATTTGCTCTCTCTGTGGCATTTGTCAAGGTGATTGCTTGTGTCTCCTTTAAATTCTCTCCTATCTTGGCTTCTATAACGTCATGGTCTCTCCTGGTTTTGCTCCTTTAGTAGTTAAGAGTATTAACTCTAGCTGTGGGCAAATAAAGGCTTTGAGGCTTAGTTTCTCATCTATAAAACAGGGGTAACAGAACCTTACAGAGAGTTGTAAAGAAGGTTAAGTGAGTTAATCTAAGCACAGTGCCTAGGACATAGTGTTTAATATATCTGAATGGTCATAACTATTCTTTCTTGTTCTCTTATCCTGGCACCTCTTCCACTCCTTAATTATAGCAGTCCCTCCAGAGTCCATTCTTTTTTCTTTTTTTTTTTATCCTCACCCGAGGACTTTTTTCCATTTTTTGTACAGATAGAGGGGGAGGGAGAGAGAGGAAGAGAGAGAGAGGGAAACATCGATGTGAAAGGGACACATCGAGTGGCTGCCACCCGCACGACCAACCAGGGCCGAGGACAAACTGCAACCGAGGTACGCGCCCTTAGTGGGAACCGAACCCGGGTCTCTCCAGACCGCAGGCAGACGCTCCAACCGCTGAGCCAAACCGGCCAGGGCCAGAGTCCATTCTTAACAGTCTCCAGTTCCATCCATTTTCATAGCCTTTACTCTATGCTCACCATTCCAAAGTTCCGTCTCCAGCCCAGACTTCTACTACAGCACCTGTGATGCCTTATGCAAGTAACTGTCTACATGTCTGTCTCCTTAGATTGTGAGCTTGTTGAGGGCGCGGGCTCTGATTTGTCTGCCTGCCCCCCCCCCTGGGGGGGGCAGTGTTTGGTGTATGGTAGTAAGACTTCAATAAATGTTTTCTAAATGAATAAAATCTTTCTGGATTCCACCACCTTAACCCCATGCTAATCTTCCTCATCCTCTAAGTCTAAGCCATGCATATACAGCAGTGAATGTGCTCCAACCCTTCTGGCTGTGATTCCCCTGACCTGTTCAAATTCTCAAACAAAGGTGTGTTTGTGTTTGTTTTTGCTTTTTTTTTTTTTTCTGGCTCCAAACATACCCACTCTATCAGTCAGTGTCTTGGCATAAATAGATGGCACAGCCAAACTGGGTATCTTGGTGAGAATTTAAGAAAGGGAATATTTGTAAAGATGAGACAGGATTTAGGAAAACCATCAAGGAATAGTGCAGTACCCCAGGGCTCAATAGCTGGGAGCTGGTTCCACCCCAGGCAGAAAAGGATAAGAAAGGAGAGTGGTTACTAGATCTGGGGAGAAGAGTTGTGAGACAGGGTACCTGGCAGGAGCTGTGGCCTTAGGTAAAGAGACATAGCTAATCTGTGGGGACATGGCAGAGAGGGAGCCAGGGGAATAAATAGCTCAAGCTCACTCTTCTTCCACCCTCTGATCTCTATATTGGTTTGGTAGGGTTGCTGTAAAAAATTACCACAAACTTGGCAGCTTAAACAACATAAATTTATTGTCTCACATTTCTGGAGGCTAGGAGTTCAAGGTATCAGCAGGGTTGGTTCCTTCTGAGGGCTGTGAGAAAGACTCTGTTCCATGCCTCTCCCCTAGCTTCTGGTGGTTTTCTGGCAATCTTTGGTGGACCTTGGCTTGGTAGAAACATCACCTTTATCTCTGCCTTCATTTTCACTCGGCATTCTCCCTGTGTGTGTCTATGCCTAAGTCATCCCATTTTATAAGGACATCAGACATACTGGATTAGGGGCCACCCCAATGACCTCATTTTAACTAATCACATCTGCAATGACACCATTTCCAAATAAGGTCACACTCTAAAGTACTTAGGAATTCAACATATGAGTTTAGGGAGACACAATTCAACCTATAATGTCCTCCCATTGGTGGAACCCAAACTTTCACCAAAGCCCAAGGGAATCCATTGATACAGGCCATATAAATCAACCTCACAGGACACAGGGCAGGGTGGAGAAGGATGAAGAGTGGGTCTGAATGGGACAAATGGCTAACATCCAGTGTACTCATTTTCCTCCATTCCTTCCCCCAGCCATGTTCAAGGCTCCAACTTTACTCCTAGGGACTCAGGACAAGGATTGAGACCTAAACCACTGAACCTCTAACCTTTACATCACTCAGCCGTCATGTCCTGGTCAATTTTACTTCCTAAATACCATGTCCTCTTCTCTATCTCCACTGAACTACATACAGCCTTTTAACTAATAGCTCTGCCTCTAATCTCTCTTTATATCTCTTCAGTCTCAACCTATATGTTGCTTCCAGATTGATCTTCCTATTCATCTCACTCCTTACCTCTAAATCTTTAGTTTGACTCTTCAGAACCTGATTTCTTTCTCTTCCACTGTTTGCAGTGTGAGGATAAAAGATTTTAACACAGTACTGGCCAGTTTGGCTCAGCAATTAGAGCCTCGGCCTGCAGTCCAGAGAGACCCGGGTTCGGTTCCCGCTAGGGGCATGTACCTCTGTTGCAGTTTGTCCTCGGCCCTGGTTGGGGTTGAATGGGTGGCAACCACTCGATGTGTCTCTCTCACACTGATGTTTCTCTCTCTCTCTCTCTCTCTCTCTCTCTCTCTCTCTCCCCCTCCCACTCTATCTGAACAAAAAAAATGAAAAAATGTCCTCCTGTGAGGATAAAAAAAAAAAAGTTAACACAGTGCCAAGCATATAGTGAATAGTCAGTGTTTATTGAGCTGTTTTTCTTATTATCCCAACTAAGTTGTTCCACCCTCTGAATATCACCTATATTTTATTCCTTCCATGTCCTTTGCTTCCCTAGATTCAAGTCCTGCTGGTGGGAGCCCCCCCCCCACCCCCCCAGCTTCTTGACTTCTAATTATCTATCTAAAAAGCCTTGTTCCCTTCCCTCCAGCCCAAGAGGTAGTGGTGATCTTTCTATCCTAGACTGGAAAAGCTCCCTGTGTTATCCATCCCATTTCTTCCTGGGGAAGGTACCCAGTTCTCTTGTTCTGTCATTTGACCCTTGCCTGGCCTCTTTCACCTCCCCTGACTCTTTCCTTCACCTTCAAATAGACATAGGCCTCTCGGTGCCAGAATTCCCTCAAACTCCCACGCTCTGCCCCTTTTTCACTCCCGGATTTCTCACACAAGTAGCCCATGCTTGCGGCCTCCACATTCTCCTCCACCCTCCTTTCTGCAACCCTTCCAAATGGAACCCGAGCACCCACTCTCCTGATCCCAATCTCTCCAAGGTCACAGATGATTTGTTTCTCAGTGACAAAATCTGACCTCTTATGTCATCATCATTCTGCTTAACTATTTACATATTAGAACTCCTCCCACTTTAAGGTCCATGTCAGTTTAACCTGGCTTCTTTCATTCCTTTATTTTAAAATGTACAAATTCCCTAAGGTTATACCTTTATTTACCCTATCCTTTTTCTCTGAGTTAACCCTACTCCAGAAGCTGCAAACTGCTAGCCATGTCCTACCTTCAGCTATGTTTTGTTTGTTCCTTCCCTACACAGAAACTCTCACTGGCTCCACAATGTCTAGCAGATAAACTCCAACTCCTTAACATTTAAGACCCTGATCAGTCTGCCTCTAGACTACATTTTCTATGTAAATGGGACTCCCCATTTGCAACCCCAGGACATCCAACTCCTTGTTTTCCAAGGTAATCGAAAATAAACAATATAAACACTTCAAAATAAAAGTTAATAACTATTAAATTTGGGCTAAGAGCCCCAGATTTTTCTGTCATCATCAGAGTTTACTCTACTTCTTACTATTGGCTCTGTGACGTTGAGCAAGTTCCTAAACTTGTTCTGACCCAGTTTCTTTTTCTATTAAAGGGATTAAAGTGCCTGCCTTATGGAAGTAAGGATTCAACTCAATAATGTATGCACACCATTTAAACACAGTAGTTAGATGGCCAATAAATGGTACCCATTATTATTTTTATTATTGTTGCTTTACCTCTAAGCATATTCACACAATTCATTCAAGTCATTATTAGCACTGGTTTGAATGGGTTTCAGACCTAGATTCCCACCAATTTGTGTGATCTGGGGCAAATCTCTTCCCTGGGCTTCCCTGGGCCTCCGATTCTTCACCTGTAAAATATGAGTATATTGCCCTGGCTGGTTTGGCTCAGCAGTTAGAGCTTTGGCCCTCAGACCAGAGAGACTGGTTTGGTTCCCAATAAGAGCATGTACCTCAGTTTTAGTTTGTCCCTGGCCCCGGTTGGGGTCGTGTGGGTGGCAACCACTCAATGTGTCTCTCTCACATAGATGTTTCTCTAATTTCCTCTCTCTCTCACTCCCACTCTATCTGAAGATAAATACAAAAAATGCCCTCAAGTGAGGATAAAAAATAAAATAAAATAAAAAAAACCTAAATAAATAAATAAATAAAAACACATGTACTACTTCTTTCCTAGCAGTGTTCCTACAGGCACCAAGCAAACAGCGGATGCACCCTGACTAGTTCTGGTATTCTTTCTTCTCCTAAGCCTCTCAACCCTTTCAAACCTTGTCCCACCCTCACCCCTGGCCGCAGCTCACACTGCCTTTCCCTTCTCTAAAGGGCTCAAGTGCTCGCCCTGACCGGTTTGGCTCAGCGGTTAGAGCATCGGCCTGTGGTCCAGAGAG